ACGTTCGGGGCCATTTTTACGTGGTCTTTTGCAAAACTGGTTTGAAAAGAATATTTTTTAGTTCCTTCCAAGTAGATGTTAATGAGCTCAAACCCAGACACCGGGTATGCTTGGTTCCCACTTACGGACGTGGAAAAGTTTTTTTGGAGGTATTTGGCCAGGGAGGAGGGTGCATTACAAAGTGGTAAATAATGTCTCTTTCATTCTAGAAGTTCGAGGGTTCGATTCCGCCAGTAGGTCTCTACAATTCCTTTATTAGTTTCGATGGTAAATTGGTATTGCATTTCACCATTCATGCTTCTGTTAGAGATTTTTCTGGTTTGGATTTTACTCAGAAATAGGTTTCGTCTAATCACGATCAATTTAGGTATCGAATATTAAAAACTGTGGGAAATTTTGCGCAATTCCGGCCATGCGAAATTCATTTCTTCTCGCCAGTTGAAACAAATTGGAAGTAAGCTTCATATAGAAATTTTTTTATTGAAATGACTGTAGTACTGTTTTATGATAATATTAATTAGCCCCGTAACAGCTAAGTTGTTTTTTGGTCTAAAATTGACAAAATTATTGAAAATTTTTTTTCCCCTGCTTCAGAATGGTGTCGAAAGGGAATACTTATCGATATGGCATCTCTTCGCATGGATCACAGAATTTAACGGTACCTGGCGATAACGCAAATAGCTCATGGCTTCTGGTAACTCCGACAGATATTCATGGCTTAATAGGCCACGGGAAAGTGGATAATTTGATTCTGGATTTGAATGGCGCCGAATGGGATATATTCCCTGCTCTACTGGATAGCTCACTGTTGGCAGAAGCCGTTCAGCATTTGGATTTGAGAATTCGGTAAAGTTTTTTGTCTCTTAGAAGAAATAGATCGATTTTTTTCAACCTAAACAGGATTTTAGCTGTGTAAATATTGCTTAATAGAGATAACTTAATGGACCGAAACATTTCTTACCTAATTTATTACCTCTTCTTTTTACATCTTCCCCTTTTTAACTCTTTTTTGACCTTTTCTATCATCCATTTTTACATTTTCTAACAAAATTTCCACCTAACCTTAAATTATTTATGACAAGTTGAACCTAAAAATATATACTTCCTTGATAGCAGGCATTTGGCGCAATAACAAGTAGCGTTGCTCAAACTTATTGACCTCTTAACTTTTTCAAACCTTTTATCTTCATCTCCTCCGCTTCTTTTCCAGTCTTTTTACGACCTTTTCCATTAAAGAATAAAAAGAAAATGATGAATTAGAAAAAATTATGAAGGGAAGAAAAACGAAGTAAAAAAGGGGAATGGGAATATGGAAATATTTGTAGCTGGTAAGAAATGTTTCGATCCATTAAGTCGTACACATTTCTTACCGTTACCACAACTGGACCTCGCCAGTACGACGATTGTGGTAACAAAATAATTTAGATGGTTCAGATAAAATATGACTGTAAAATATGTAAATTTAAATTATGAGGTATTATCCTCCATGTAAGCAGTTAAATAAATATGATTGCATATGTTTTAGGCTATGGATTGGCGAAGAAAATGAAAATTATCGTCG